AGAGGTTGCCATGGTACAAGACCTGTCTTCCTCAGTTCACGCTAAGGGAATAATTTTTCTCCTCATATGCTGCTTGACTCTAGTAACATTACATGTTATAACTGCAATGGTACAGGACAACTTACAAATATCGGCCCCTTACCCAAATCACGCTCCACTAAAAGCCTGGCCAAACCGACCTCAAAGCTTACATACTCAAACTTTTTTAACCAACCATAGATTATGGACACTGGTTCTACTCACCATTTGACAGCACAACTAGACAACCTTGCTATTCATAACGAGTACAATGGCCCTGAAGAAGTACACTTAATTGATAGTAAACCTGTTCTCCTATCTCATGTTGGTTCTACCTTTCTTAAATTGCATAATCATGTTTTTTCTCTTAACAATGTTTTGCGTGTTCCTTTTAGCACCCAAAACTTACTTTCTGTGAGCAACTTCACACACAATAACTCTTGTTCTATAGAATTTTTTCCTAGCAAATTCTTTATCAAAGACTTGAATTCTCAGCAAATTCTGCACGTCGAACCACTTGACAAAGGCCTCTACAAATTCTCTTTGGACTATGGCATGGATCATCCATCTCAAATTAAAGCTCATAGGGCTACAATAGAAACTTGACATGCTCGCCTTGGGCATGCCTCATTCAAAAATGTTCATCAAGCTTTAAAGAATTCCAAATTTATTATTTCTTTGTCCATTATTACTTCACTATGTCATACTTATTCTGTTAGTAAAATTCATAAACTACCTTTGTCTTTATCAAAGTATAAAGTCAAGGCTCCGTTAGAATAAATATTTTATGACCCCTATGGACCATCTCCTATCTTATCTATAAATAGTTATTCATATTATGTTCTATTTATGATCATTACAATAAGTATTGTTAGTTATTTTTTCTTCACACAAATCAAAAGTCCTTAATTGCTTTATAAAACTCAAACACACTGTCAAAATTTTTTTTTATAAACTTATAAAACAGTTTCATTCAGACTAAGGAGTAGAATACCAAACCCTAACCAAATACCAGCATGACAATGGAATTTCTCAAAGACTTACCTATCACAAAACACCAAAATAAAATGATTGTGCAGAAAAAAAGCACCGTCACATAGCAGAAACAGGCTTAACCCTACTACACCATGCTTCTGTTCCTTTGCACCTTTGAACTTATGCCTTTATTGCTGTAATTTACACTATTAATCGCCTTCTCGCACCCAAACTACATAATCATTCTCCTTATTTCACTCTTTTTGGTAATAGACCTCCCTATGATGAGTTAAAAAAATTTTGATTGCTTATGTTACTCGTGGTTAAGACCATATATCAGTCACAAATTAACACCTAAATCTTCTATTTGTGTTTTATTAGGATATAGTAAAGTTTCTAAAGGTTACCTATGTAATGATTTGTCAATTAAAAAGTTTCATATCTCATGCCATGTCTTATTTGATGAACAGATGTTTCCATCTGTGCTGTCAAAATAAAGTTCACTGGTGAAAAATAATCTGTCAGGCATAGTACCCATCACTTTACCCTCACGAATATCATCTTAACTCAAACACCATGCACACGGTACTTAACCCCCGTCCCAATACATTCCCCAACGTATACTACACAGTGCCATACAAAATCCATATAGCCATACGTGGATAGTCATAACTGCACACTCTAGACCATCAATTACCACAAATTCTTTCCTCTTCAGCAAACATAAAACTGCACACTCTGCCAGCAGTCTCACAAACTATACAGTCCCCTACTCCAACCATACAACCATGTCTCTAACTATATACCCAGCCCCCTCTTCCATCTCTAGTACTACTCATGTGCAGTGCCTAAACTCAACCCCGAAAACTTCCCCGTCTCTTTCTCAAATCATGCAATCACGTCTAGCCCAAAACCAGGAACCTCACTACTACAACCATCTATACAACAGCCAACTCTAACCCCCCCAACTAGTCGATCACAACTCTACTTAAATAACTTATGATCACAATACTTCCACAACCAACCAAAATCCAGATCTCTCTTATCATATGCTCACCCATGCCAAAACTGAAAATTTAAAACCATAAAATTTCTCCACTACTGTCCTTCCTCTTGAACCCCAATCCTATGCTCGGGCGCAACCTCACCAACACTAACAGACTACCATGGTTGATGAAATGAAAGCTCTACTCCAAAATAATACTTAGGATCTTATTCCTTACCACCCCTCTTACAATGTGATTGGTAACAAATGGGCGTAAAGGTTAAAACCAAGCCTGATGGTACCCTTGATCACTATGAGGCACACTTGGTCACAAAAGGCTTTAACCAACACCCTAGTATAGACTTCAACAATACCTACAGCCCAATGATAAAGCCAACAACCCTTCGACTAGTCCTCTCCATTGCGATTTCCCTTGGCTGGCTAGTAGACCAACTGGATGTGTCATATGCCTTCCTCCATAGACCATTAGAAGAAGATGTCTATATGACACAACCAACGAGCTTTATTGTTCTAATGAGATCGACTCATGTTTGCAAGTTGAAACGATCACTTTATGGATTAAAACAGGCACCACGCCAATGGTTCAAGTGCCTTTAAGGTAAACTGTTGTCCTTAGGCTTCATTGGCTGACAAACAGACATATCTCTGTTTTTCAAGAAATCTGGCAATGATATCACATTCTGCCTAGTGTATGTTGATGATTTACTTATAATGAGTAGCAGTGGTCTGATGATTAGCTTTGCCATTTCGACTTTGTAAACTGCATTTGTTGTTAAACACTTAGGCCCATTGCATTATTTTCTTAGGTAAATGCACAGTGGCAGTTCAGTGACCTTTTCCTTACTCAACACAAGTATGCTACTAAACTCCTTTTACTTGCTAACATGCATCAAGCTAATGCACAAGGAACACGAGCATGCCCCAACACCAAACTCAACAACAATTTCAGGCAGTGCATTTTCAGACCTTTTCCTTTACAAAAGCATTGTAAGTGGGTTGCAATATCTAGGTATTACCAGACTAAACTTAGCCTACTCTGTCAATAAAGTGGCTCAATACATGCATGCCTCCACTAAAACTAATTGGGCTACTGTCAAAAGAATCCTCTGTTACCTTCAGGCTACCAAAGACTATGACTTACTTATTCAGAAATCATCCCCAATGTAAATCAATGCTTACATAGATGTAGATTGGGATGGTGACATAGATGATCGTAAAAGTACATCTAGTTTTATCATATACCTTGGTAAAAATCTTATCTTTTGGCCATCATGAAAACATCGCACCATTGCTTGATTGTCTATTGAAGTTGAATATCGAGCCTTGGTAACCACATATGTAGAGGTGGACTGGATAAAGTCCCTCTTGTGAGAAATTAGTTTGTTGTGCCCTACTCCATCCATAGTCTGGTGTGATAATGTCCCTACCACCTATCTCACAACCCCTCGAATTTTTCACTCACGGTCCAAGCATCTTGAAATTGATTTTCATTTTATGAGAGATAAAATTAGACAAGAAACACTATAAGTTTATTTTCTGTCAACTATTTATAATGGACTGGGAACACAAGCATGCCCCAACACTAAACTCAACAATAATTCAAGCAGTGCATTTTCAAACATGCATCAAGCTAATGGACTGGGAACACTAGCATGCCCCAACACTAAACTCAACAGCAATTCAAGCAGTGCATTTTCAGACCCTTTCCTTTACAGAAGCATTGTAGGTGGGCTACAATATTTAGGTATTACCAGACCGGACTTAGCCTACTTTGTCAATAAAGTAGCTCAATACATGCATGCCCCCACTGAAACTCATTGGGCTGCTGTTAAAAGGATCCTCCATTACCTTCAGGCTACCAAAGACTATGGCTTACTTATTCAGAAAGCATCCCCAATATCAATCAATGCTTACACAGATGCAGATTGGGGTAGTGACATAAATGATTGCAAAAGTACGTCTGGTTTTGTCATATACCTTGGTACAAATCTTATCTCTTGGTGATCACGAAAACAACGCACCATTGCTTGATTTTCTACTGAAGCAAAATATTGAGCCTTGGCAACCACGTATGCAGAGGTGGACTGGATAGAGTCCCTCTTGTGAGAAATTGGTATGTTGTGCCCTACTCCATCCATAGTCTAGTGTGATAATGTCTCTGCCACCTATCTCACAACCACTCGAATTTTTCACTCACGGTCCAAGCATCTTAAGATTGATTTTTATTTTGTGAGAGATAAAGTCAAAAAGGCACACTACAAGTTTGTTATCTGTCCACTACTGATCAGATTGCAGATGTCTTAACTAAGCCTTAATCCAGATTTGTTTCACAAGTTCAAATCCAAGTTGCGCATTGTTTCACCCCTGCACAACTTGTGGAAGGGTGATAAGGATAAGAGTTATACTATAGAGTTGTAGTGTAGTCCGTTACCTTAGTGATAAGGATAGAGTTGTATTACATTACTCTAGTTCCCATGCTTATCACCATAGGTATACTTGTATATATATACTGCTGTAATATCTTATAAATACTACAGAGAAATATAAGCTTATCAAAAACGGGTAGGGATAAATTGTACACCACTATTGAAAAATTACAGCCACCCCAAGGAGTTGCTATCATTATGTGTGGTGGCTGTCTCAATAGTTTTGGGGGTTGTGGTGGTGATGGTGGTGTGGCGGGGCTCTTATGCACCATCTCTTTATTAAATGTTGGCCTTCCACTGAAAAACCAAGTAGATGTGTTGTATTCCTATTAGAAATTGGACTTTTGCATTCTAATCAGGGTTGCAATTGGATTAGCTCAATTTCGATTTCTCCTAACACTAACAGGTCACCATTTTTTTCCTTTTTTTCCTGATTCTTTTCGTTTATATGTAACATTTTGCTTCTTCTTCTTCTTTATTTAATTTTTTTTTTTTTTTTGGCTGACTCAAAAGTAGGTGCGCTTTAGACATTATTATCACCATCACAGGATCGTACATACAGTGGTGTTCTATCCATGGACAGCCATAAAAAAGATGCGAGATCTCAAGGCCATCGTAGTCTAGAAGATGGAACGATTTCGAATAGGAGTGAAAGTGTTTACGTGCCACCATATAGGTCGGCTCGAATGCGAAACGAGGTCCAAGAAAAAAACAGTGTCGAATATCAGAAGCTGACATGGGATGCTCTACGTAAGAGTATTAATGGTCTTTTAAACAAGGTTAATGTCACAAATATAAAGAATGTTATCCTGGAATTGTTTTCGGAGAATCTCATTCGAGGAAACGGTCTTTTCTGTCGATCTTTGTATCAAGTCTCAGATGGCATCGCCAGCTTTCACGAATGTTTTTGCTGCTATGGTTGCTCTTGTCAATACCAAGTTCCCTGACGTGGGTCATCTGTTGTTGAGAAGGGTAGTTTTGCAGTTCAAGCGAGGGTATAAACTGAATGACAAGCCGGTGTTGCTGGCTGCTGTTAAGTTTTTAGCACATCTAGTGAACCAGCAAGTGGCTCATGAAATTGTTGCTTTAGAACTTCTCGCTGTTTTGTTGAAGAATCCGACTGCTAATAGTGTTGAGGTAGCTTTGGGTTTTGTTACGGAGTGCGGATCGATGCTTCAGGACTTGTCGCCAAAAGGCCTGGATGCAGCTTTCGAGCGATTCCGTGGAATTCTTCATGAAGGAGAGATTAATAAGCGGGTCCAGTTTTTGATTGAAGGCCTTTTTGCTTTACGAAAAGCCAGATTTCAGGGATATCCTGCTGTTCGTCCAGAACTAGACCTCATAGAGCAGGAAGATCAATTTACCAATGAGATCTCTCTCCGAGAGGAGATCGATGCAGAGATCACTTCTGATATGTTCAAACCAGATCCTCATTTTGTAGAAAATGAGAGGCGTTATGAATTATTAAAGAAAAGCATTCTAGGGGAGGAGGAAGTTGTTTCTGATACAGTTTTTGATGATCATGAGAAGGATTATGAGGAGGAACCTGAGGACGACAAAGAACGAAAGTTGAAAGTAGAAGACAAGACAGAGACTGATCTAGTAAATCTTCGGAAGGTGATCTATCTAACAATCATGTCCAGCCTAGGTTTTGAGGAGGCTGGACACAAGTTAATGAAAATTAAACTAGAGCCAGGACAAGAGATGGAGTCATGCAATATGCTTTTGGAATGCTGCATTCTACCAGGAAAATTTTGAAAAGTGTTTTGTTCAACAGTATTCAATGATTCATCGGCTTGGGACAAAAAATCTGCACAATGTGGCAAATTTTTTTGCACATTTACTTAGCAAAGATGCACTGCCTTGGCATGTCTTAGCCTATATACGGTTAACTTTGGAGGACACCATTTCTTCTTCTCGTATATTTATTAAGTTTCTCTTCCAAGAATTGGAACAGCACCTTGGCCTTCGCAAGCTGAATGAGCGTCTCAATGATCCCTCTTTGCAAGATTCACTTGAATCCGTTTTCCCTAAAGACGAAATGAAAAAAACACGGTTTTCCATCAACTTCTTCACGGCCATTGGTCTTGGTGGCATTACACAAACTCCACGCAAGTGTTTGAATATAATGGAGCAGCAAAAACGTTTCTCAGAATTCGAATCTGAATCAGATGACAAATCTATCAGTAGAGCTGCTTCGTCAGATTCTGACTTTGATAGTTCCAAATTGGAGTTAGATTCATTAAAAGCTGACAGAAAGGCAGCAAGCAAGTAGCGAACTAGGAGAGGTGGAGGTGATGAAAGACACAAGAAGCAGAGCAAGAGAGGTTAAGGAAGCGTGTCTGAACACTGATGAGGCTCTTAATGACTGTACGAGGGGAAGTCATTATAAAATAGCGCCCATCTCAACAAGCCTTTTCGAATTAGAATCTTCATATTCTGCATTAGAATCTTCTTATTTCTTTTCATTTGTGATGCTTCTATTTGTTTCAGCATTTATAATATTGCCTGAAGTTGACATTCTCTCCCTGTGCTGTATTACCATGTTTAGTTAAATGATTTGAGAAATCCTAAAATAAAAGATCTTAACATTTGGAAGAATTGGTAAACTTAATTTTCAAGAGAAGTTTAGAAAGGTTTAGGCTTATATTCTAATTGCTTAAAGTTGGGAATATTTGAGTCTTTGTTTTTCCACAAAAGAGAGACAGGAAAATTTAGGCTTCAGCTTGTGGCCATTTCATCTATCACCATCTCTTCTGACAACAAATGCCAGAGCTTTGAAATGGACTGGATATTCTTGGAAGCACACTACCTACAATTGTACATTCATCTACTTATCAAGGTTGATGATTCTGATTCTGATAATTGGACAGACATGCATCATAAACATGTGAATCGGGGTCCTAATCTTTCACATAGATCCTCTGGGATTAATATTTTGGATCAGTAAGTGTATATTAGCTTTAGCAGTTCAAAAATCTAAATAGCTTTTTTTTTTTTTTTTTCCCCATCATTCCATGGTTCATTGCACAAAATTAATTACGTAAAGTGGAGCAATTTCATACATCTTGACTCTTTATCATTCTTAACCAATCATTAATATTTACGGGATCCAGTACAATTCACCACTTAATTACCACTTTATCATTCTTAACAAATCTAACTAGTAGTCTAATTGTTCGTATGCATTGCATTGTCCTTGTGTAATTGAATGATAGGAAAAACCTTAATCTGGTAGAAATTATTGGTCTCTTGGTAACGTAAACTTGACAACGATAAGGATGTCCATGGATTTACTCAAGACAGAGCAATTGATGCATGCAAATGCCTCTAGTTAGGAACACCGTTGATTATTTAGCAGTGATGTACCTTCTTCCATTCCCCTACCTTCCCTTTTCCCATTTCCTTCCCAATACCTCTAGTTGGGGACACATGATTATTAAGCACAGTATATCTTCTTCCTTCCACTTCCCCTCCCTTTACCTATTTCCCTCCCGCACCCTCTCCTCTGAAATTCCCAAACCAACCACAATATGTATGATGGTCAGCTAACACAATTGTTGTTGATGAGCTATTGAACGGGGAGACCACAGAAATCTAAAAACAAACCTGTTTATATTTCAGCAATAAATAATTAAGCAAATAGTAAGAACGTTCTATGACATAGGTAGTGAGAAATACAAGTTTCACCAGCGAGTCAAAAATGCATGGTGAGATTAGACATTTGAGATGATATTAGGCACGAATTTGGCTGAAAATACATCATTTATTCGACAAAGAGGTTATTTCCACTAGAGATGAGAAAGCTCCCTGCATGAGAACCGCTTGGCTGCAGCTCCCTGGAAGAAAACCTCGTGTGGTTTTCTAGAAAGACAAGTGAGATAGCAAAAGAAGTAGTGCCTACATGCCACCTCATTTTCCTTCTTGCTTTTCCTGTAGTCTCTACCAGGTTGACATTCCTAGCACATCTTTTTGCCAGAACTCTTCCTCACAGCTGGATCTGAGGCATGAATCCAAGGGTTAAGCCCTGATCAACAACCAAATGGTGTGTAAAAGGGAGGGGCAAAAAAAAGATAAAAAAAAACAATTAGGAATGCTCTATTGCATGATCCACAAAATATTACACAATATTACAGATAGAATAAAATAATCACACAACAAATCTATAATAATGGCAAGTGCTTTAGGTTAAGTGAATGAAGTTTATGTGGCTTGTCTAAATCTGCTAAAAAAAGAATTCATTTTCAACTTTTAGAAATGCAAGTACAAATAAGCTCTGTTATTAAAAGGATCCCCTAACACCAATTGTCCACCAAAAAATAAGAAACCATTTGATCTTACCAGCGATTTGTGATATGGCGCATTATTTGACATTTTGCTCTAAGACACTTTCAACAATTCATGGAAAGCCTCCTGAGGTATATCAACGGAACCAATGCGCTTCATTCGCTTTTTACCTTCCTTTTGTTTTTCCAATAGCTTTTTCTTTCGAGTAACATCTCCACCATAACACTTTGCAAGAACATTTTTTCGCATAGCCGAAACCCTAAGAAGAAATGTTTAGAGGTTTGGTTGAGCAATGAATATTGAATAATTGTAATGTTCAAATGATCACTACAATATCTACTGATTTGCTTGCAAACAGGGAGAAGAAAAGCAAGAAAAGAGACCGCTTTGGACACAAAGTACCGCAGACGGTAGAAACATTATTTCAAATACTAGGTTTATCATGAACAGATAGATTACCAAGAACAAGGCAAGATAAACTCTCAAAAAACTTAAAAAAGAGGTAGAAAGAGAACACAAGACTTACGTCTCCCTTGCAATAACTTTAGCTCCAATTGCAGCTTGGATTGTTATCTCAAACATTTGCCTGTTTAAAAATAAGGTTATCTGAAACTACTGAGTAACAAAGAAAATATATTAAATCCACAAAGTTAATTTAGATAGATACTATAGATACCTGTCTATGAATTTCTTCAGCTTCTCCACCAGTTCACGACCAACACGTTGTGCCTTCAATTTGTGAACAATAGTTGCCATAGCATCAACTGGTTGTCCATTTAAGAGAACATCAAGTTTCACCAAATCAGATTCCTGATATCTGTTGATGAAAACAATCAAAAGAATAAGGAAAACAGATGATTTCAAAGTTGCACAAAAATGTTGGAAATCCCCGCCTTCCATCTCTACAATTTCTGATCACCTATGTCATTTATATAACAATCCAAATATGAGGTGGCCAAAATTAAAACCATAAAATATAACACACAAGACATTTTTCATTCACTGAATCACATGGAATAAGATAATGGTTGATACACAAAGGAAATATACTTCAGTAGCCAAATTCAGTTATTCTGGCAAATAACAAGAGGTACAAAAACTACAGAACTTTTGGATCACCAAGTCACCAAACATCAGATCATACCTATTTGGTGGCATCAGTATTAAATATGAAAAGGTGCTTTGTCCAGGTAGGCATGAGCAAATATGAATGCATCTCCGAATGTGTTTGTTAGAGAGAGAGAGAGGTAGTACATACTCTGAATCCTCATAGTCAAATGATGCATATCCTGACGTGATACTCTTTAACTCATTGTAAAAATCAACAACAATTTCCCGCAAAGGCAGTCGATACTTCATAAAGGCCCGTTGGCTGCACATATAGACTTAAAGGATCAATAATGTTATAGTGAATCAGCTTATGAAATGAAAGCATACAAAACAGTAATCAACTCAAACTATACAGGGTAAACATACAATACAAAACAGCAATCACACCAAACTCTATACATTAACTTGACCATCACTTATAATCCACTACTAAATGGTGTCATGCCCAAAAAACTACCTGTCCATAAATGAATACTCCAACTGCTGGCCTCTCCGTGCAGAGCAAAGGGTAATAACAGGCCCCACATATCTTATTCAGTCAAGTAAAGACAGAATGAGTAAGTACTTTACATGATACAGAAGAATATGTAACTGTGCAGAGGGATTATGAGAGCTTACTCACTAGGGATTATAATTGTAGCTATGACTGTAGGTTCCCAGCTAGCTGTAACTCGGTTTTGGGATTAGAGGGCAGCGCAGCTGGATTCTGAACTTGTGCTTTGCTATACAAGTCAACAATTATATTATTGAATAAAGCATAGGTGAAGACAAAACTACAGAGATAAGATCAGAACACATACCTTCCATCAGAATACTCAAAAATATACGGAACAGTAGGAACGGTAGAAATCACATGAGCTCCATATTCCTGTCATTTATTGATAATTGAATGTTAACAAGAAAATAATTTTCTAGATATTTTACTCTGGACCAGTGTATGGTCAATGAGAATAGTTTTATGCCAGTTCAAAATCATAATCTGAGTATCTAATATAGGCATTCACAATAGATGGAATCCTCACTTGTTCAAGACGCTGATGGAAAACATCCATGTGAAGTAAGCCTAAGAAACCACATCTGCAGATATAAAGCAATAATCATAAGGATGTCACTAAGAAACTCCATGGTTTAAGTAGTGAAAAAAGCTACCAGTCAATGGAAGCCCACCTAAAACCCAGACCAAGTGCAGAACTACTCTCTTTCGTAACAGAGACACTGGCATCATTGCATGTCAGTCTCTCTATAGCATGGTTCAGTGCATCAAAATCAGATCCATCTGCTGGATAGAGACCAGAAAACACCATATGTCTTGCAGGCTTAAAACCTACATTTTTGAAAAGGCACACACAAAAGGATATTAGGACAGACATAACAGAATTTGAATTTCAGCAGAGGGTCCATAAATTTTCTCACACTCCTACACATGTCCACTACAATTACAAAACCAATATGTGGTGTCTCAAGCTCAAACATATGTGTCAATCACCATGGTTTTCTAGCTGGATGAAGTAACTTGTGACGCCGCAAATTTCTATCTTACCAATTACATGGTGACAAGACAAGATCTCACACTGTATTTACAAATAAGTTTCTGTTAATGTCACTTTGTCTCCCTTACCTAATGTAAAGTAATTTACAAGATATTTTCTGATAAAATAGAAATGTCTGAAGTCATGCAGGCACCATCATAAGAGCGGTGGTGAATTCTCCAAGTCTTTTGCAATGAAACAAATAGTAAAACTGGTCCCATGATATCAACATTATCAGCATGGATTTCTTAAGATGCTAGGAGTATTGTACAGGTTTCAATTGAAGTCTATTGACATAAACAAGCGAAACAAGAGTTTGCTTAAATTTTCTAGCTATTGGTCAAAAAGATCAGTAAGCATCAGTTCAAGGGAAAAAAAAAAGTTGGATACCTGGTAGAGGTTCTACACTGAATCGGTTATGATGTAGGGTGTCTCCAACACGTGCTTCTTTGGTTGATCTCATGCCACTAACAATATACCCCACCTGTCCAGTTAGAAGAACTCCAGTTGGAGTAAGTTCAGGATGCATGATCCCTACATCTGCAACTTCATATGCATGACCAGTTGCTGCAGATGAAATCTTATCCCCTTTCCGCAACACACCATCCACAACGGCAACATGGCAAATCACTCCCTTGTATTCATCATAGTAAGAATCCAACAAAAGCATACGCAAAGGTGAATTACTATTCCCAGGAGGAGGAGGTATCCGCTTTATCACACTGGGAAGAACTTGCTCAAGACCCAGCCCTGTTTTGGCAGATGTCAAAAGACAATCACTGGGTTCAAGATCAAACATCGATTTTAGTTGAGCTTTGACGCGATCAGGATCAGCAGTTGGCTGGTCAATTTTGTTAATGACAGGTATTATAGCAAGGTTAGATTCAAAAGCGAGATAGAAATTAGCCACAGTTTGGGCCTGAACCCCTTGTGCAGCATCAACAACCAAAAGTGCACCCTGGCAAGCAGCCAAGGATCTGGATACTTCATAACTAAAATCGACATGACCAGGCGTGTCAATTAAATTTAGTAGAAATTTCGCTGCTTTGTCCACATCATTAATGTCTGAGCCATTGTTGTTGCACTTGTGAAACATAGTAGCTGTCTGTGCTTTAACTGTTATTCCCCTTTCTCTCTCTACCTAAGACAATAAAAATTCCATCACAAAAACGCCCATAAAGAATTAAAATTCAAAAAAATCAACTTCCAAAGCACATATTTCCTCTTTTTTATGCATTTCCTTTCTATGGTTAACATTTCACATATATAATCACCAAGTCTATACCAACCCATCAAATCAAAATCATTACTAAATTGGGCACTAAAAACTACTGCTTAAAAGCAACAGAAAAATCCATAATTCTTTTTTTCCTCAAAACAAGAAATGCCCAGCAAGACAATCCCCAGAGAAAACAACTTTACGTGAATTGGGTCCTAAAACTACTTAAAAAACCCGTAAAATTCGGGATTCTTGATTCTCTCAAACCAAGCAATGCCCACTAAAAACAACCCATTAAAAACTACTACTTTACTTAAATTGAATAAAAAGAGAATAAAATTTTAAAAGCAAAAACAAATTCTAACCAAAACCCAATTCACATTTCACTCAAAACAACACAAAACCAATTAAAAAGGGAAAAAAAAAAAAACCTGCAATTTATCGAGGTACTGAGGCTGGCCATGCCCTCTTTTAATAGTCCCAGTGAGCTCCAAAAGCCGGTCAGCAAGAGTTGACTTCCCATGGTCAACGTGAGCGATTATAGAGAAGTTTCTGATTTTGTCAGGTGGGTACTGGCTCAAATCGATGCTGTTTTGGCGCGAATTGGAGCAGAAATCACGGGCTAGTCCAAAACTGTTGTCGTTTAATGTAAATGCAGAAGGGAATGGATTGAATTTGGAATATGTATGTAGTAGAGAGAAGTATTTTTGTGATTTTAGGGTTTTTGATGCTCTGTAGAGAGCAGAAGAACCCATTTGTGTGGGTTTTAGGGAATGCCACTGGAGGCAACGCTGCTTATTCGAAGGTTTTATATAAATGTTGATAATTTATAATTAAATTTTTATTTATTTTTTAAGACATATGAAATTAATTTTATTTTTACAAACTAAAAATTAGGAACATAAAATTAAATTAGATCGTTTTTCAATAGTTAATAGCCAATAATTAGGAGATGCAGACCCCATATATATTGATAAAAAGAACTAAAAATAATAATAATTAAAAAATTGTCGAATTTTTATAAATATATTTAGAAATGAAACAATATTTTTCGTATCATGCTATTATAATAATTATGTCTTTTTTAACAAATAGAAAAGAGAAAGAAATTTTCATTTTATTTTATATGAACAACTTAAAAATTAAAACTATTTTGATAATGAAACTTCTTGAAAATGTTTTGATTTCGATCAATGAGATTAGTAAAATATCTACGACCAAAACCTTTCAAAGTTTCAAAAATAAATAAAAACCTGATGAAATATTAGATGTGAGACACTAATATTTATATTAAGTAAATAGTTTAATATGTTTTTATATAATAATATGAGTTTTTAATCTATTCATATATTTTTAAATAGTTTAATATGTTTTTATATAATAATATGAGTTTTTAATCTATTCATATATTTCTAATTGCATTGTACCCTTGAATAATGTTCAAATCTCTAATTTATTTTTTTCATTCAACTTTTTCAACAATTTAGAATTTTTTTAACCATCTTGACTAAAAAAAAAAAAATACCGAAAGTCATATGATCTCGCATGTTCTTTTTTTAAAAAAAAAATCTTTAAAAATTTTTGTTTATCTTTTTTTATTTTAATCAGGAATATTTTGGTTAAAAAACTTGTTCGTGGTCGAAAAAATTAATCAAAATAACACATTGAAAGCTAAACAATATTCATAGATATAATAAATACACTTAAAAATATAAAGACAAGTTGGAGACTTGTACTATTAAATAATAATATAAAGAATTATTTGTCTTTTTATGTTTTGATATTGTGAAATTTTGTGTTTTCTTCTATCATAATTACTATTAGTTTGATAATATATATATATATATATATATATATATATATATATATATATATATATATATATATATATATATATATATATATATATATATATGGCATGAGTAGATAAGATATTTTATATGAATTAAAACCCCTTTTATTCTTATATAATAGATTAATAGCAAAACTCTGTCCTTCTACTTTTTATATTTTCTTAATGTGACCTCTCTACTCTTTTTTTATTCATCATGTTTCTTTATTCTTAATTTTTTCTTCATGCGACACATCTAATGGTTTTCTTGCCAATAACCCCTAAATAATTGTATATGTATTTATGAAAGAAAGAATAATTATATTAATGCATGAATCTTTAATTAAGGAGTAATTAGTTAAGTTAAATATGTGAAATAATTATTATGTGTGCAGAAAAATAATATTTGTGTACACATAGATGTTAGGAAATATGTGGAAATAATTTAAATTTACTGACGTAAGTAAGGATCATTAGTTATTAGGGGAATAAAATTTTAGGTGCTTAATTAAAAACTTTTAGGGACATAATTGTAAGAATAAAAAGTTTGGTGATTCTAGTATCATTTTTTTTGAAGAATTTTAGTTTTAATAATGTTTTGTTGATGGATGAAAAGAGCTAAATAGTTTTCATAATATTTTGATTTAGGATAAAGTTCAAAAAGCAAAATTTAATGATCAACGATACTATTGACTTTGTGAGATGATAGAGAAACAGTTGATGGTATTGAAAATGATTTTTCAAAATGAAAATCATGTTGATATCGACATAATTGATAACATAAGAAGAATAGATTTTATGCTAGTGTGGTTAATTCTAAATGATAAGTTAAAATTTTTTTCTCATGGACTAAAGGGAGAGATTTGTTGGGTATGTCATAACCACAAATTTGCCCCACCCCTATTATTTCTTAATTTTACTTACTTACTTATTTGTTTATTTTACAAGAGGTTTTTATTTATTTATTTATCTTTATGTTTGTTGTTGTTGCTATTAGTTTTGGTCTCGTTTAAGTTTTAAATTTTTAGTTTAATTTATCCTTTATTTTATTACAAAAACCAAAATCGAGACAAAAGAAAGAAAGAAAACATAAAATTTTTTAGGTTCGTTTCCTTTTTACTTATTACATTACTATAAACATAAAAATAAATAAGAGAGAGAGAGAGAATACAAAAAATAGAACTAATTATTAAGAAAATACAACCAAAGATGAAATTGAATAAAATTAAAAACCGAAATCAAGGAATGTAGGGATGAAAGTGTGACAAAATTGAAAGAATGAAGGACTAAGTGGACGCTTTGAAACGGTGTCGTTTTGAAGACGTTGAACACATTAGACAACCCACACCCCAGTTTTCCTTTTGTTTTCTTCCGGGCCGGACTTACTTTTTGTCTCTCTTCACCAGCTGGACTTGTCCTTCTTTCCTTCACACCGATTCAGCTTGTCCAGGCCACATCTTCGTCCTTCATTCCATGATTCTAGCCGTCCTGCATGCTGTGAAAACAAGAATGACAGATTAACAGCAAAACAAACAGAGAAGCAAATTGACAACAAAGGGAGCGTTCGATCTTTTCTGGTTTTAATGAGGAAGGGTCAGGATGAAGTGGCAATGATCGAAGGGATGAGGAAGAAAGGGGGAGTAGTATAAACACAAGGGTTTTGGGCAGCAGCAAAAGAGGGAGAAAAAAGTGAAGGAGGCTCTTTGGTTTTTGGAGTCCGTTGAAATTCTTTAAGCTTTAAGGTTTTAGGGGTTATCATTTGGCTTTAGTATTGTAAAAAACACAGAATAGAACAATAAAGACGGGGAGGGGAAGGATTGGAACCGGGAAAATAGCACAAAAGGCCCTCTGTTTTTTAACATTGGGAACAGAGGAGGTTAGGGAGGAAGAGAGTGGCCTGAGGTTCTCTGGTTCTTGTGAGGATGACATCGAAGCATTAAGAAAGAGCCTAAACCAAAAGAATAACTAACATTCAGTGAAAGGTCTTCGTTGCGTTTGTGACATTCTACCTGTTCTTGTACCAGGTAAGGTTATGCCTCTTCCCTTTCCTCTTATTCTACCCTTTTCATTCATCATAATGTAAAGGATATTAGAGTTCATTTTTTTTAGTTCAATCCATGAGTTTATATATATATACTCACTGTTGCGCAGAAAATGTGATATTTTTGATATGGTAACTGATTTTTCTGTTGAGAAAACAAATTGGTGTTTTTGGCTTTCCTTGACTGCGTGAATATCAGGGTGGAATTAATGATGAAGTTTGTAAGTGTTACCCTTTTTCCAATTAGTTCGAAGCTTGTTGTGGTAGTTAGTCTGCTAAAAAACTGAGAGAGTGAGGAATTGCAGCGTATAGAAGAAGAAGAAGAAGAAGAAGAATAGGAAGCTACAGTTTAGGGGATGAGAAGAAGAAAACGAACCTGGGCTGAGCCGAAGGAAGGCAAAAAAGGGACTTAGGCTTGGGCTGGGTTTGGTGCTGAGCTATAAGTTTGGGCTGGGTCTGTTTGATTTGGGCTAGACGAAAAAAGAAGGCACTCAAGCTAGGCTAAAAGTTGGGGTTGGAAAAAAAGGCCTACGGGCCTATTGTGTGGGTTGTAGGCCTATGGCCCTAGTCTTGGTTTTGCATGGCTCTAAGCCTCTTTAGTTTTAGTTTAGAGCCAGGCTTTGACTTAGACCAAGGGTCCAATGAGCTTTTAAATAATTAGTTTTTTTTTAGGATTTATTTTAACGAGGCCGCCTTGGTCATTTAATTTTTTTTTTATGTGTATTACGTATGGTTATCCTTCGTTTGTATTTAAAATTTCTTAATATTTGAAGTTCATTTACTATTTATTTAGAATTTATTTAATATTATGTCTAATTTTTAATTGTTTCATTGTTTTCCTAGAGAACTTAATCATTTGAACTTTGTTTGATTTTATTTTATTTTGATATGAAATTTTTAGGTTTTGTATATATTTTTTATTTATTGTTTGCTTGTAATTTATTTCAATGTAATATACTTATTGTTTAGTTAAGGTGGTGATGGATCGTCAAGTCTCATAGATTTTAAGGATCGATGATGATCCTTCATCAAATCATCATGTAACAAAAATGTCATCTTAGGATAATTAAAAAATTTAAGTCGATTTAATGAGTTTTCCGTTTAATATAGACAAACATTAAACTCGACACCTAAAAAAGAAACAAAGCAAATATATATATATATATATATATATATATATATATATATATATATATATATATATATATTAGATCGTTCCTTGACATGTCTGGTTATATCGGGACTTAATTGGACTCGATGTTAAATTAAAGAGACTTTCAATTATGAGGTTCGACGCTAATTTAATATAATGCTACAATAAAAAATAAAAATAATAATTTGACTTAGACAATAAACAAGCGTGGAAACAAGCATAGAAAATAATTTGACAAAATTAATTAGGAGATACATTTTATGGCTAAACTAAACATGATATTCTTTTTTCGAAATAGTCTGCCTTTGGATGGTTGTTATCTTTTCAAATGTATAACCAATTTTTTATTCGCAATCTCTCAATCCCATGGCCTTTTTAGGTTTTTTACTTTCCTTTAATATTAGGTAGGAACTCCAAAACATTTGTTAACTCAACTCCCAAGAATAAAATAAATAAATCCAAAATGAATTTTAATTTTTTTAGAAGTTCCCTAAATGATTGAAATTAAATACGCAAGATAACTATTGTAAAACTAGAAAAGAAAAGTTTTTTTTTTCTTTTTTAGCAGTACACACACATACATAAAGGGCTTTTTTTTTTTTTTTTTTTTTTTAAGCCACAAGAGAGCAACTGGAGAGAAAAGAAAAAAAAGAGTTTTTCCGATTTTTTTTGACGAATTCTATAGGAAGTAAGCAAAGTTCCTAGTGCATAAAATATTGAATTTTTTCTA